AATATACAGCTAGGTTCTCCCTGGCTTACAGATCGGAACAGAGATTCTGCAGTAGCTGCTAAATTAGCAATTTTGGTGTTGATGCATGAGTCACAGGAGCATCCGGCTGGCTCTGCAGGGTAACTGGAATGGAAAGTAAATAAACTGGTTTTTGCAGGTAGGTCTGACACCCGAGGAGCAGTATGCTTTGAGTACTTGCTATTTTTACATAGGGACTTAAAATTAAAGTCAAATTTTAGAAATGACAAGGACCAGTGGAGTCTAACTTCAAAGATTGTTAGGATTTTTTTTTTTTTTTTGCTACTAAATTAATATAAAACCGACCCCCTTTTGCATTCCTCTGTTTACGACAGTTGTTGCTTCAAAACACTTCTAAAGGAATTTGCTTTTGTTTGCTCGGAACTGTTTCAGTGGATTTAGCTCTCCCGCCAAGTAGTAACAGTGGAACAGGTCCCTGGCTGTATCCTTGCATAAGATACTGCTGCTGTTGTAGACAGCCAAGTCTGTGACCACCCAAGGGACTAATCTTGGCCTGAGTATTTCTTGGTTGCTTGTAATAAGAGCAGCACCCAGATATCACCATATCTAAGGCCCTACCAAAGTCACGGTCCGTTCGGGTCAATTTCACGGCCATAGAATTGGAAAATTGGTGAATTTCATGTTTTCTGATGTTTAAATCTAAATTTCAGGCTGTTGTAACTGCGGGGGTCCCAACCCAAAAGGGGGCCACCGTGGGGTGTGTGTGTGTCCGTTTCACAAACCTGTTATACGGGGGTCATGGGATTGCCACCCTCACTTCTGTGTTGCCTTCAGAGCTGGGATCTGAAGGCAGCAGCCGCTGAGCTTCCTGCAGCCGTAGGAGATTCGTGGAGATGGGTCTGATCTCACCCGTGCTGCTGGGAGTGCCCCAGCCAAGGGCTCCTAGCTGCTAGTCCCTGCGCTCTCAGTGGGAGATCAGACCCACCTCCACAAGCCTCCTCCGGCTGCAGGAACCTCTGGGGCTGCTGCCCAACGCCCCACCCCCGAGAGCATCCATACGGGGGAAGGACAAGTCCTGTCCTTCCTCAGCCTGGCTGGGACTCGCAGCTAGGAGCCCTCAGCTGGGTTGCTCCCAGCAGCATGGTGGAGATCAGATTTCCTGGGGAAGGGCTTATTTCATGGTCCCTGACGTGAAATTGGTAGGGCCCTAACAATGATGGCCTGGCTTTGTGGAAATAATAATTTTCAGCTCTTATATGGTTTTCTTCATCAGTAGATCTCAAAACACTTTATGAAGGAGGTCAGTATCGATATCCCCATTTTACAGATGGGTAAACTGAGGCAGGGAGGTGAATTGACTTGCCCAAAGTCACCTAACAGGTCAGTGTCTGTGCCAGGAATAAACCCAGTCCAGTGCTCTAGCCCTACGAACGCTGCCTCCCAATCTAGATCGAAACCTATGGGGCTCTAATTCCATCTAAGGGCTACTGGTGGCTTCAGGAGCAAAGCTGGACCCACAGAGCGCTGAAGGGAGGGGTGTTATGTGAAGCAGTAACATGTTGGAAACCTGTGTCTGTGGGTATCACAGCAAGGCTGGTGACTTGGAGTTTCTGATCTGAGGGTACTTTAGAAACCACATAGGACACTAATGCACTTTGAATCTGTCCTAGAATCTGAATCCGCATCTGTTGGGCCATGGAGCTCCATCAGATGCTCAGATCTGTATCCCTAAGGAGGCTCAGTCCTCTTAACTGATGGCCATATTTGGGGTTAGGAAGGAATTTCCCCCCAGATCAGATTGGCAGAGACCCTGGGCGGGTTTCGACTTCCCCTGCAGTGTGGGGCACGGGTCACTTGCTGGTTTGAACGCAAGTAAATATAACTTGAAGTCTTTAAATCAATATTTAAGGACTTCAGTAACTCAGGCAGAGGTTGGGGGTCTATTACAGGAGTGGGTGCGTGAGGTTCTGTGGCCTGCAATGTGCAGGAGGTCAGATTAGATGTTCGTGATGGTCCCTTCTGGCCTTAAAGTCTGAGTTGTCCCCCGTCTTACCAGGGCAAGTGTTTCATTCTGCCCCTGAGTAAAAGCTTTATTGGGTACTCAGTGTATGCTTCTTGGGGCAGAAGCTGACTGTAGCACAGCTAGGATTTCTCACACAGTGGCAAAGCTCCCGCTGACTTCGGTGGGGCCAGGATTCTACCCTGCTGCTCTAGTCTCTGTGAAAAGTGCCGGGAACATGCTGGTGCGACGCACGAACGTTAGATAATACCGAGCTGACCCTACACTGGCTCCTCTTCTTGGACAAGGTCCTAGCCTCTGCTTTAGCACTCTGAAAGCTGCTGCTGTTCCATGTATTGTCAGGTGGGAATTACTGATCTGCCTTTTGTGTGTGTGTGTGTTTGCTTCCTTCTATCTATACAGGAGTTTTTATCCTCTTCTCCTCCGTTTCCCCAGCTGTGGCCTCTGGTCCTTTCCCCAGGTCAGCTGCCCTAAGAATCCCTCTGCTGCATTTGTGAGTGCCTGGATTCCATGCTCTGGCATGTGTAACTGGCACATGATGCAGTGGAGCAAAGTAGGAGAGAGGCTGCTTTTCAGGATTTCACGCAGGCAGAGCCGGCTTGCAGCAAGCACTTGGAGGCTCAGCTCTGCCTGGCAGGAGACTGCAGAGACCCAGACTTTGTGCGGAGTCCCAGTCATATCCTGCATTCCTTCTACTGCTGGCCAAGGCAGCCAGAAGGGAAGTACACATGCAGTCTAATGCATCAGGCATCCAAAGGCTTTGCTACCCAGAGGTGAAGTCCTTGCCCCACTTCCCAGCCTATGAGTTCCAGACTTGCAGCTCCCAGTGCAGACTGCAGAGAGGCAGGGCAGGGTTAATGGCACCCCTGTACTTGGCATGGAACGCTTGGCAACCAGCCAATTTGTGCCCCCAGCACCCTCACTTCTCTCGCCTTCCACAGCTCCGGGGCTGGTTCAGCTGCTTGGAGCATCGGTCAGTAGCTCTGGAAAGATTCACGCCAGCGCATCCTTTCCTTGGGTATCTCAGTGTTGCAATGGGTTAGGCAAACCAGTTCCCAGAACACTCTGCCCCCAGCCTGGTACCTCTCAAACTCCAGCTAACCCCTGCTACCCTACCCCCCCCCTCCCCAGTTAACCACCCCAGTTCTTTCCCTGCATGAACAACCGTGTACAGATGTGGCCTCTGGTTTCCAGGGACGGGGGGAGGTCATGGAAAAAGATGGACTCCCTGCCACCCCACCCCCCATCAACTAGTCCTCTTCTTGTCCCATGGTCTGCCCTGTGGTGTCTGCTGCTGTAAATCATGGAGATGAAATCTCAGTGGGAGTGGAACAGGCTGCAATGCAATTGGTGTCCCCACCTCCCCGCACTGGGTTTGGCTGGGAACCTCATGCTGCCCATGACTCATCCACTGCCTCATACTTTTCTTTTTTTAAACCCACTCTCTCCTTTCCCTCCCCACCTCCCCACGATTGGTCATTAATTTCCTTTCGACCTCCCATCCTGTGGCTTGCGCTGCCCAGTGCTCCAGGTGTCTGTCTAACCCTGGGCCTTGGGAGAGCTCTCATGGGGTGGGCTGGGACTAGCTGGGTGTTTAGTTACTTGATGCCAGTAGGAAATCTTTCTGGCGATGCCCATGCACCTTCTTTGTCCCCTCCTCCCCCGTTTATGTGCTGTGGGATCCCCTTGTCAAATGACAGTGGTGGTGGTGTATGGTGCCCTATATCCATTCTCTTGCTGCTCGGAGGCAGTACGGGGAACAATATAAGGCAGCCACATTTTAGCTCCAGATCTGAAATGTCCCCAGGGCTTTTGGGGGTATTTGGATCTGGGGTTTTGGTCCAGGCCCATCTCAATTAGCCTTACATGGCACTTTTCGTCTCTGAAGGTGCTTTGGAGCTTTGGCTGGAGCGGGGGCTCCCGCTACTCCAGTCCCAGGGAATTGTGTCAGATTGCTGGCTGTGAGCTCCCCGCAAGGGCTGCCGTCCCTGTCAGCGTGAGTCACGGCAGGGGAAGGGAATGTGGAACTAACGTAAAAAGAAGTTACGTATGCCCCCCAACCTGAAGCAAATACTCACCAGCAACCACACAACAAAAATACTAACCCAGGAACCTATCCTTGCAACAAAGCCCGTTGCCATCTGTGTCCACATATCTATTCAGGGGACACCATCATAGGGCTAATCACATCAGCCACACGATCAGAGGCTCCTTCACCTGCACATCTACCACTGTGAAATGTGCCGGCAATGCCCCTCTGCCATGTCCATTGGCCAAACTGGACAGTCTTTACGTAAAAGAATAAATGGACACAAATCAGACGTCAAGAATTATAACATTCAAAAACCGTCGGAGAACACTTCAGTCTCTTTGGTCACTCAATTACAGACCTAAAAGTGACATTTCTTCAACAAAAAAACTTCAAAAACAGACTCCAACAAGAGACTGCTGAATTAGAATTAATTTGCAAACTGGACACAATTAACTTAGGCTTGAATAAAGACTGGGAGTGGATGGGTCATTACACAAAGTAAAAGTATTTCCCCATGTTTATTCCCCCCTACTGTTCCTCAGACGTTCTTGTCAACTGCTGGAAATGGCCCACCTTGATTATCAATACAAAAGGTGCCCCCCCCCCGCTCACCCCCGCTCTCCTGCTGGTAATAGCTCATCTTACCTGATCACTCTCGTTACAGTGTGTATGGTAACACCCATTGTTTCATGTTCTCTGTGTATATAAATCTCCCCACTGTATTTTCCACTGAATGCATCCGATGAAGTGAGCTGTAGCTCACGCAAGCTTATGCTCAAATAAATTTGTTCGTCTCTAAGCTGCCACAAGTCCTCCTGTTCTTTTTGTGGATACAGACTAACACGGCTGCTGCTCTGAAACCTGGAACTAACGTGAAGGACAAAAATGTAACAGAAGCTATGAGTGCATCACAGGAAAATCTGCTGTGGTTTCCTCTCTTCCACCCCCCCCCCCCCCTCTCTCCTTCAGGGATCCCAGAGGACTCCAAGGTGGAGGCCCCAGCCTTTACGGATGCCGTCCGCATGTACCGGCAGTCGAAGGAGCAGTACGGCACCTGGGACATGCTCTGTGGCAACGAGGTCCAGGTGAGGGTGAGAGGGGTCCCCTGGCCAAGAGCGGCTTCTCCTGCAATGACCTGACCCCAGCCAGAAGGGGGATGGTTTGGCGCCTCCAAATCGGCCTCCTGGATGTACTGAGATTACCCATGGTTGGGGGACGAAGCAGCTGCTGAGGGAGTGGAGCCGGCACCCCTGCTGGGTTAGACGCTCCAAAGCCTTGAGGTGTGGCTGCATGGCAGGGCGTGGCCCATCCGACATCCCCCCCCGAAGGGATAAACCGTTGTGCCTTTGCTCTGGCAGCTGGTCTATTGGGGAGAGCTGGCTTAGTCATTCAGCCCTCCAGGCCGGGGAAAATGGCGCTATTCCAGGGAGGGCTGGGGGGGAAGCCTGGGACAGGCATGCTGCTTACATGTCAGCCCTGTGTCACTGCTGAGTGGATGTTATGCTAGGTTAGAGGTCACTGGCAGCTGCTGGTCCTTCCTCCACCTCTGCCTGGTGCTGTCGTATGCAGCCTGTTCCCCCTTTATCTCCAGCCCAGCTTGCAACTGCGTCTTCCCTCTTGTAGAGACTTCTCTTTCTGCTGGTGGGAGTTGTATTGGCGGGAGGGAGGGATGAATGGATCTCACCACCGAGCTGCCGTGGCAAGGCGTCTGCTGGCTGGGGAGGTCCTGGGGGACCCTGAATGCCTTCACGGGTCCTGCCCAACCTTTCCACAGACAGGGCTGCATTTTGGGGTCCTAGTGACCCCCTAAAGGGAAGAAACCTCTTTAGGAAGATCAGCTTTAGCCACCTTTTAAAAAGTGACACCCCTGCTCCCCAACCTTACCCAGACATCAAGAGTGACGCTTAACTTGGGAAGAGAAGCTTGTACCCAAGCTGGTGTCTTGATGGCGGAGTTTACTGCCTATGCCCTTCCAAAAGTAACTCTGCTCAGATGCTGCATCTGGCTCTCCATGCAGACCTGGCTTTAAACCATCTCCTTGGGTGGGTTGGCATGGAGGGCAAGCTTGGGGGAAGAAAGATTGCATGCTTGCCGGCAAGCTTAAAGCAGGGATTGATACCCCAAATGCTCCTGTGCCCCTCCTCTCTCCCTTGACACCCCCTTGCTTCACCGCTTCTGGCCGCCCTTGAGAAAGAGGAAGGTGCCTTGTTAAAAAGTCATTTCTGACATGCACCCCTCCCAGGGCGTTCCACAGGAGTTGGGCTGCTCCGGCTGGGCAGGAATTCCAGCCGCGGCTGGTTACAGCTCAGGGAGCTTGCTGGGCCTCTGCAAATACCATAGTTCCCACTGTGGAGGGCCAGCGTTAATGTGAGGGGGGGAAATATACTCTCTCCCCTCCCCGCCAGTGTCTAGTGGAATCTTCTGGTGACGGGGGGGGAGCAGGGGGGGAAGGAATCCTCGGCAGGGGGGTGCTGGAATCCCCAGGGGAGAGTGGTGCTGGCAGGCTGTGCAATACTGCAGCTCAGATGTCAAGGATGTTGCTTTACGGACTCGTGTGATGCATTTTAATAGGATCTCCTTGGCAGGTCGGAGGCGGCCAGTGGGCGGAGCGCCAAAATCCCACATGTGAACAGTTCTGAGGCTGCAGCTGGGACTAGGAAGGTGGTGGGGAGGGGCGGGTCGACCCCTGGGTTTAGGAACCCAGCCGAGCGGAAGGTGGGCAGGAGGCTGAACGTGGAGGAAACGGGCAGAGGGGGCGTCAAGCCAAACTGCTAGGAGGGGAGGGACCTAAGCCAAGCAGAGACTCACTGATTCTGTCAGCACCTACCCCCTAGAGCAGTGGGGCGCTAACCCTCTGGGACATACCGGGTTAGCTTGCACCCTGAGCAGCCGCTCTGAGCCGGAGCTCTAGTCTCGATGCTCCCCGTGTCTGGCGGCGGGAGAACATCTTCGTTAGCTTCTCACGCACACGTCCTCTGTGGGCACGCAACCACACCCGGCCAGCCCCTTCCATAGGAGCCTGGCTTTGGTCCTTGCAGCTGTGCAGGATGGATCCACCAGCGGATGTCTCCAGCAGGGCCTGCTCAGGAGACCGTGCGCCTTCCCGGGTTGATGGGGTCGCCCTAGCTAGCAATCGGAGCGCTGTCTTGCGCTCCGCTCAGACTTGAGCGGCACAGTGTGCCTCTCCAGGGCCATGAAAGACCCTCCCACGGGACGAGGGAGCAGCTCTGCGTACAGACCCTGTTCCCAATGCTCTCTCAGCTAAGGCATCGGAAGAGGATTTGTGGTGCAAAGGGCTCTCTTTGCTAGAAAACAAAGTGTGGGGAGCACTAGCTTCCCCAAGTATCCTCAGTGCTTCAGAACGGCTGGAGGGAGACCGTTATCATGTGTTATGGAGAGATTGTTTCATGCCAAGAGCCCTTGATCTAGATGGAAGTACCAGAGCTACGTAACGAAGTGTTGGATGCACAGGGAAAGGTGTCACGTAAGAGTCTGTAGCAGCATATCACAGAAGTAGGGAAGGAGGAAACGAAATGGATCGTCAGAGGACCGGGCAGCCAGCGAGGAAGAAGAGGGGACGGGTCGGGAGGCAGGGAGAGCAGAGTGCCCAGCAGTGGAAGGACAGCTAACAGCCATGTGAGATCTAGTCACTAACGGCCTCCTCATTCTGCTCCTCTAGGTTTTGAGCAATCTGGTGATGGAGGAACTGGTCCCAGAACTGAAAAACACGATCGGCCCCAAGCTGAAGGGCAAGGCCCAGGAGAGGCAGAGACTCTGGATACAGGTTAGTGTGTGTGTGGTGGTGGGGGGGGGCGGTGGTAAGAGGCCAGGGCCCTGTGAGGGCAGAGTGGGGCTGTGAATGCTGCAGCATGAGGCTGGTGCAATAATGCCCAACTGGCTGAAATGTTCCTGTATGGATGACACACGCCAGAAATTGGGGCTGGCTGCTGGGAAATCCAGGACTGGACTCTGACAGCTTTTGGAATGGGTCCCCTTGCCTTGGGTGTGGTGCCTTGACTCTGTTTCCTGCTGGCTTGTGTGACTCAGAGTCACTTCCCCAATTCACCCCCTTCTCCCCAAGGGCGCAGGGAAACGAGCTGTCTGTCTGCCTCACTCCTGGTTTTATCAAGCTCCCTGTCATAGGTGTAAACAGCTATTTCTCAACCTCCCACTTACCTTCTGTTGGTTGCATGCCCGTCCAGAACATGCGGCTTCTGTGTTGCTTGCCATCCCCCCGGGGAGGGAAGTACACCCTAGCAAACATCCATCCATAGCTAAGCCAGCAGTGTGGCTCGGCCCAGCTATATTTAGCAAACCATTTTTAGACCAACCCAGGCTAAATCTGGCCTGAACCTATGGGTTTATACAAACAGGCTTGTTATAAAACCTTTAAGACCAATAGAAATGTTTCCATGAGACGCTCTCTGTAAAATTCCACTGAAACCTCCTTTAAACAAACAGTGCCCCTTAGCCTTAACCACCCAGACGCGGCAGCCCTGTGCTAATGCATGAGAAAGGGGAAGAGTTCTGTCCTCCAGAGCCCAAGATGAAGATTGCAGATTTCCAGCATAAATCCTGATGATCACATTGGATTCTTATTTAATTGTAATAATCCAAGGTGGGGAAGGGCTTGTGCTGTTCCTGTGAAAGAAGCAGGAGGATGAGACCGGCCCTAGGGAGGAAGGGTGACCTTGTCCTTTAAGGCGTTGGAATGGTACTGAAGAGATCAGGGTTCAATTCCTGCCTCTGCCACAAACACCTTGTGTAAACTTTGGCCTAAGCGACTTGTCCTCAGGTGACTGATTTTGGGTGCCCAACTCGACACTTTAAAGTCCCCTGGCTTTCAGGAAGTGCTGAGTATTTCCTCCTGATGGGGAGGTACTTGGCCCGCTCGATGCTGGTGAGGCCTCAGCTGGGTACTGTGTCCTTTTTTGGGTGCTGCACTTTAGGAAAGCTGTGGACAAACTGGAGAGAGTCCAGAGGAGGGCAGCAAAAATCATCAGAGGTTTAGAAAACCTGACCGATAAGGAAAGGTTTAAAAAAAGACCAGGCATGTTTAGTCTGGACCAAAGAGGCCTTCAAATGTGTTAAGGGCTGTTATAAAGAGGACGGGGATCATTTGTTCTCCATCGCCACAGAAGGCAGGACAAGAAATAATGGGCTTAGTCTGTAGCAAGGGAGATTTCAGGTTAGATGTAAGGGAAAAATTTCTACCTATAAGAATAGTTAAGCTCTGGACGAGGCTTCCAAGAGAGGTTGTGGAATTCCTGTCATTGGAGGTCTGGAAAAACACACCTGTCAGGGATGGTCTTAGTTTACTTGGTCCTGCCTCAGTGCAGGGGCTTGGACTTGATGATCTCTCAAGTTCTCCTCCAGCCCATCGTTTCCATGATTCTAGCCCAGAGGTGCTAAATAATAGCATGACATAATTCCAGGCAGAAGACTCCTCCTCCAAACGTCACAATAAATAACTTGTACATACAGTAGCACTGTGCAGTCATAACAAAAATAGGCTCATGAACCTCGGGAACTACAATCCTAGACTTTGCTCCTGCACTGAGATGTGCTAGCATGGATCCCGGTGGAGTCCTGCCATTTGAACGCAGTGGTGCATAGCAGATGCCTGCACGGATTCCAGTGTCAATCACCACAAGCGTACAGTAGAAAAGAAAAAAATATTTCAAGTCAGCGGTTTTTAAAAAGAGAAATGGGTGGGTGGGAGTGAACAAAACTCGGAGCTGGATGGAGTCCGTCGCTCTTGCTGACATCAGGAAAGCAGCGAATCCTGAAATGTGCTGACCAGCGGCTGCGTTATGACAAGACTTGTTAGGCAGATCTCAAATAGCCAGGCCTTTTCTTGTTAGGGGATCTAGTGGCAGCTGCAGACATAATTCCCGTGCATGCTGTAGAAAGCTTATTGCCAGACGTCCCTGCATATCCATGGTTGGGGAGCACTCAGTCATGTGGGGTGCAAAGAGATGGCAGGCTGCCTTGCAGACAGAGGTCAGGAAGGGTCCTGGGCTCACCAAGGTCAGATGGCAGCACAGCCTCAGACGTCCCATGGGATTAGGATGCTGACGATGCTCTTCCTCTTCCCCCTCTAGATCTCGGATGCTGTCTACAGGCTTGTCTATGACCAGATAAAGGCGCACTATGATGCAGTGGTGACCAAATGTGAGCTGGAGCGTCCCAGAATGGAGAGCACCATTCGCACAGACATGGATCAGATCATCACATCAAAGGAACACTTAGCCAGCAAAATCCGAGGTAGGAAATGTGTTGCCCCTTTGGGTATGTCTACATGGCAAAAAAAAAAAATTCACCCACGGCACCAAGTCTCAGAACCCGGATCTGCAGACTTGGGCTCACCTACGGCACTAAAAATTAGCTGTGTAGACATTCAGGCTCGGGGTCTGGGTTTCCGAGCTTGAGCCCGAACGACTACCCCCAGCAATAGCCCATTGTACTGGGTTAGTCAAAATCCTGACGTTCAAAACCGCAGTGCTTTCCTAGGACTGGGAGCCAGAAACCTGACCCGGGGGCTAAGAGGCCAAGGGCTGGAGCAGTCCTCTAGTTCACCTAGCTCCAGCAGCCCTTATTTTAAGGCACCGTCCCTTATTTGTTTGATTTGTCCCTAAGATGATCACCCATCCCTTATTTGAAGAGAGATTGAAATGTTTTAAAACTGATAAGTGCTATTTTAAACATGAAATTGAAACTTATACTAATTGCATCGTGTACGGGAGGGCAGTAGAAATGTGCACAGGAGGAAAAAATACATGATGTGCCAAGGGAAATGGTGTTTCCCTACAGTGTCCCTTCAAATAAAGCAGCGACCCTTGTTCTTCAAGTGGTTTTCCCTTATTTCCCTCCAACAGAGGAGGTCACCCTGCATAGCTTCTTACATCCTGAAGGATCCCAAAGTATTAGTACACCATCCAAGTATTACAAACTAGGTCTGCACTGTTACCCTCTGGCCGCTTCTGAGGTGGAACGTGGCTTCTGCTAACGTACCACGGTGCTGGGCAGGCGGGGAAGCATTACCACACAGCCAGGGCAGGGCAGGGGCAGGGCTGACACCAATGGAACTTAGCTACTCAGACTAGAATTTGACCAGGGCTTTGAGATGAGTGCTCCTGTTTGTAGGAAGCCCTGTGGTATCAGGAGCTCATACAGAAGCCAACATCTCTGGCAGCACGTGGCCCCGTACTCCATAGGGGGGAAGAACAGGGTCAATACTGACCCAAGAGTGCCGCCTACTGAATTGCCAGAAGCATTCTCTTCACCCCCACGTGTTTTGCGTGGAGGATTACCGTTCGAGTACTGCCAAGCGTGGCAGACACGGGCTCTGGTTGCAGGCTGATCGGACGTAAGGTGGGAAGGGACCTTGTAGGTCTTCAAGTCTAGTCCCCAGCTGCGGCGGGCAACTCTGTCATCCCATTGATAAATTTATCCAGCTGCATCTCTAGCCTTTTGGCCACCACCTGGAAGGGGTGGAGCAGAGCAACTCCTGTCCTTTTCTAGGGTGTAGTCTTGGAGCTGGAGCACCATGCTTGGCTTCCTGGTGGCTCCAAAGCTCAGCAAGGAAGGTAGCCAGAGCAGGAGCCATCCCATGCTAATTGTCTGTTTGCCTGTCTCTTCCTCATCCAGCCTTTGTGCTGCCCAAAGCAGAGATCTGTGTCCGAAACCATGTGCAGCCCTATATCCCTTCCATCCTGGAGGCGCTGATGATTCCCACAAGCCAGGGTTTTGCCGAGGTCCGGGAAGTGTTCTTCAAGGAGATCACTGACATGAACATGAACGTAATCAACGAGAGCGGGATGGAGAAGCTGGGAGAGGTAAGGCCCCTGGAGAAGGTTGCATAGATTCCCGTTGTTGGCCTAGCAGGATGGGCTGGAAGCCTTGCGCGGGTGCCCAGGGAAAGCCTGGCCAAGGAGGGAGCTCAGCTTCCATCCCCAGTTGTCCTGAGTAAGGCTGGAGCTGAATGGTGAGAATAAACCTGTGGCCCTGCCCCTAGTCTGCTCACATCGGAGCTGGCAGGCCTATGCTCCCCTCTTAGCTGGAAGCCGCAGACCGTAGGGGGCCCAGAGCTTCCTTGGGCAGCACCAATCCTGGTCACGCTAGATCCATAGGTTCCTTTGGTGTTCTGGCAGAAGTTAGAACGATCCACTTAATCATAGAATCATAGAATATCAGGGTTGGAAGGGACCTCAGGAGGTCATCTAGTCCAACCCCCTGCTCAAAGCAGGACCAATCCCCAACTAAATCATCCCAGCCAGGGCTTCGTCAAACCTGACCTTAAAAACTTCTAAGGAAGGAGATTCCACCACCTCCCTAGGTAACGCATTCCAGTGTTTCACCACCCTCCTAGTGAAAAAGTTTTCCTACTATCCAACCTAAACCTCCCCCACTGCAACTTGAGACCATTACTCCTTGTTCTGTCATCTGCTACCACTGAGAACAGTCTAGATCCATCCTCTTTGGAACCCCCTTTCAGGTAGCTGAAAGCAGCTATCAAATCCCCCCTCATTCTTCCCTTCCGCAGACTAAACAATCCCAGTTCCCTCAACCTCTCCTCATAAGTCATGTGTTCCAGTCCTCTAATCATTTTTGTTGCCCTCCGCTGGATGTTTTCCAATTTTTCCACATCCTTCTTGTAATGTGGGGCCCAAAACTGGACACAGTACTCCAGGTGAGGCCTCACCGATGTCGAATAGAGGGGAACGATCACATCCCTCGATCTGCTGGCAATGCCCCTACTTATACATCCCAAAATGCCATTGGCCTTCTTGGCAACAAGGGCACATTGTTGACTCATATCCAGCTTCTCGTCCACTGTAACCCCTAGATCCTTTTCTGCCGACCTGCTGCCTAGCCATTGGGTCCCTAGTCTGTAGCGGTGCATGGGATTCTTCCGTCCTAAGTGCAGGACTCTGCACTTGTCCTTATTTAACCTCATCAGATTTCTTTTGGCCCAATCCTCCAATTTGTCTAGGTCCCTCTGGATCCTATCCCTGCCCTCCAGCATATCTACCTCTCCTCCTAGTTTAGTGTCATCTGCACACTTGCTGAGGGTGCAATCCACACCATCCTCCAGATCATTAATGAAGATATTGAACAAAACCGACCTGAGGACCGACCCTTGGGGTACTCCACTTGATACCAGCTGCCAACTGACATGGAGCCATTGATCACTACCCGTTGAGCCCGACAATCTAGCCAGCTTTCTATCCACCCTATAGTCCATTCATCCAGCTCATACTTCTTTAACTTGCTGTCAAGAATACCGTGGGAGACCATGTCAAAAGCTTTGCTAAAGTCAAGGAACAACACGTCCACTGCTTTCCCCTCATCCACAGACCCAGTTATCTTGTCATAGAAGGCAATTAGATCAGTCAGGCATGACTTTCCCTTGGTGAATCCATGCTGACTGTTCCTGATCACTTTCCTCTCCTCTAAGTGCTTCAGAATCGATTCCTTGAGGACCTGCTCCATGATTTTTCCAGGGACTGAGGTGAGGCTGACTGGCCTGTAGTTCCCCGGATCCTCCTCCTTCTCTTTTTTAAAGATGGGCACTACATTAGCCTTTTTCCAGTCGTCCGGGACTTCCCCCGATCGCCTTGAGTTTTCAAAGATAATGGCCAATGGCTCTGCAATCACATCCGTCAGCTCCTTTAGCATTCTCGGATGCAGCGCATCCGGCCCAATGGACTTGTGCTCATCTAGCTTTTCTAAATAGTCCTGAACCGCTTCTTTCTCCACAGAGGGATGGTCACCTCCTCCCCATGCTGTGCTGCCCAGTACAGCAGTCTGGGAGATGACCTTGTTCGTGAAGACAGAGACAAAAAAAGCATTGAATACATTAGCTTTTTCCACATCCTCTGTCACGAGGTTGCCTCCCTCATTCAGTAAGGGGCCCACACTTTCCTTGGCTTTCTTCTTGTTGCTAACATACCTGAAGAAACCCTTCTTGTTACATCTCTTGCTAGCTGCAACTCCAGGTGTGATTTGGCCTTCCTGATTTCACTCCTGCATGCCCGAGCAATATTTTTATACTCTTCCCTGGTCATTTGTCCAGTCTTCCACTTCTTATAAACTCCTTTTTTGTGTTTAAGATCAGCAGGGATTTCACTGTTAAGCCAAGCTGGTCGCCTGCCATGTTTACTATTCTTTCTACACATCGGGATGGTTTGTTCCTGTAACCTCAGTAAGGATTCTTTAAAATACAGCCAGCTCTCCTGGACTCCTTTCCCCCTCATGTTATTCTCCCAGGGGATCCTGCCCATCAGTTCCCGGAGGGAGTCAAAGTCTGCTTTTCTGAAGCCCAAGGTCCATATTCTGCTGCTCTCCTTTCTTCCTTGTGTCAGGATCCTGAACTCGACCATCTCATGGTCACTGCCTCCCAGGTTCTCATCCGCTTTTGCTTCCGCTACTAATTCTTCCCGGTTTGTGAGCAGCAGGTCAAGAAGAGCTCTGCCCCTAGTTGGTTCCTCCAGCACTTGCACCAGGAAATTGTCCCCTACACTTTCCAAAAACTTCCTGGATTGCTGTGCACTGCTGTATTGCTCTCTGAGCAGATATCAGGGTGATTGAAGTCTCCCTTGAGAACCAGGGCCTGCCATCTAGTAACTTCCGTGAGTTGCAGGAAGAAAGCCTCGTCCACCTCATCCCCCTGGTCCGGTGGTCTATAGCAGACTCCCACCACGACATCACCCTTGTTGCTCACACACTTCTAAACTTAATCCAGAGACTCTCAGGTTTTTCTGCAGTTTCATACTTGAGCTCTGAGCAGTCATACCACTTAAGGTGGGAACTGAATTCCCAGCTCTCCTCCCAAGCTCTGGGCGACGGGTCAGTCTAACAAAATCCAGGGCATCCAATTTCACCTGCGTATGGTAACCTGGGATCACTCTGTATCCAGCTGGGTCCCTCTGTATCCAACCAGAGCAGCCCCAGGTGGTCACACGCCTGCCTCCCACCCTGTACTAACAGTACAGACCCATGGTTTGATCCTGTGACCTACAGCCGGTGATCTTCCTGCTCCAGGCTCACCCATGTCTGTGTGCAGCCTGGCGGTGTGGGGACACAGAGACACTTGGAAATGCTCTTGTCTTTGTGACCCAGATTAAATGGGAGCCGTTGAGGAAGGATTCCGATTTCTGGGCTTTGTTTTCCTCTGCTCCCTGGAAGCTTGGTGTCTGGTCTGATGCCAAGTCTCAGCAGGCCTGGGGAGTGGGCGGGAGGTAGGGCGCTCTCTCCGTACAGCCAGTGAGTTGTGTGTGTGACTCCTTGTCCTTCAGTACATGGAGAAGCTCTCTCAGCTGGCCTTCCACCCTGTCAAGATGCAGTCCTGCTATGAGAAGATGGACCAGCTGAAACTGGAGGGGCTTCAACAGAGATTTGACGTATCCAGTGCCTCAGTGTTCAAACAGAGGGCCCAGATCCTCATGAGACAGGTAGGGTGTTAATAGCCAAACTCAAGGGGTGACCAGCCCTTATGCTCACTGCCCCATGGGGAGCTGTCTTCGGCCCTAGCCGTCAGGGTCAGAGTTAAGGTGGGTTGCTGTGGCTATGAATTCTGGTTCTCCCAGTGCCCTGCCCTGGGTGTTGGGCTGGTCATCAATGTCCTACTGCATGGGCGCCCCCTGCTGGAGTGTGCTCTGGGCTTCAGTCTGGCTGTACCACCCCCCACCCACACACCCCCCGCCCACGCTCCGGGAGCCTTCATTTGAAAGAGTCACCTTGTTAAAATTAACAGCCGGTCCGGGGGCACAGCACTGCTACGGAGACCAGCTTATTTCAACGGCTTTGTTTTTTCTCCTCTGAATATGGCAACGCCCCAGGGGCAGAACCGTCCCTGGCCCAACCCCTTCGCTTTGCTCCCCAGCACTGCGCTGCCCATGGCCCGGAGCACGTATGACTCAACGGCCACCTGTGTTCTTTGGGACAAACGATTGACCCTGCGTGTCGTGACTCTGCCCTGGTGCCTGTGAACGATGCAGTGTCCCACTGGGAGGGGAACGTCTGCGTATGAACAACCTCACGGGGGCGCCTCGTATACGTCCACCGCTGTCGTGCTGGTGGCCGGGTGGGTGGCAGTCCTGGGCTACGCAGACGCAATGCTCTTCTTCCCCTTTACATGGAGGAGTCTCCCACCGGCAGTAGTCTAAATGTGGGGTCAAGGAAGCCGGCCTCAGTTAGCTGTGTAGGAGCGAGTGTAACCTTCCACCGGGTTTTCTGGCACCTGTGGAGAACCTGGAGACGTTCTAGAACTGGAATGCTCTCACCTCCATCACTCACATCCCATTCAGCCTGGCACAGCTGATTTAGGAGACTGGTTGTTCTACAGCTCCTGGAGGAGTATCCAGGGGCCAGTGTGGACAAGAATCCACTTGCAGATCTACATAGGGGGGAGGAGAAGTTTGTGTGCCGATATCCCATGCACCAGCGCAGCCCCGTATTCTGGTAAATGAGCCGCTAGTGCCCTCTAGTGGTGGGAAAGAAAACACCTTTATGCAGGTTAACTTGGTGCTTTCAAAATCGTGAGTGGGATGGGGTAGCAGATGGGGACCGGGTGCAGGTTCAGGAATAGAGGAGGTGCCCCTGTGACCCGTCTTCGTGTGGTGGTGCGTTGCCAGGCCTGCTCTGCTCATCCCTTGGCATCATTGCTTTGCTGGATGTCCAACATGAGCCAGCCTAAGTTGCCGTGGTTTCTTGGCCTCCTTTTGGGACACCGTCTGACGATGCTTCTCATTGTAGCAAATGGATGATGCCGTTCACACGTTCGGGACACTCCTGCACCAGGAGCTGGCGAAGATGCTGGGCAAGGAGGAGCTGTGCAAGTCAATCCAGCGGATCCTCGAACGGGTGCTCAAGGTAAGGCAGCCCGCAAAGCAGCGGCATGCTCCTGCAAGGTCTGCCATCTCTGGAACGTGAAGGTGGTCGGCGTTTTAACTCGCCCGTGCTGCACCAACAAGGCCTCAGGATGCTAGACAGGAGAGAAACCTCTGCCACAAAGAAAGCGCCTGCAGCTTCTGTGCGAAGCCCAGGCATGCCGTGTGCCTGCCACGGGGCAGGTAAGGGCAGGAGCGAGTGCATTGTGTAGAACGATACTCGGCATTTGTAATTTTAAATGGACCGAGTATCACAGTTGTTCCTAGACCCCAGTGGAGATCGGGCACAGGGAGGTGAAGTGACTTGCCCCACAGCAGATCAGAGCCCAGGCCATCAGAATCTGTCCAGTGACCTATCCCCTAGACCACGCTGCCTCCTGAGCCCAGGGAAGGGGCTGGTGTTGGATACTGAAAACACTTCTGTAAATCCCCTCGTGTAAATCGCTTCCTGTGGAAAGGATTGTTCAATAAAATGGTAGGAAAGCTGCACATTCTCCTCTTCCTCTGAATGGCCCATTCCTCTGTAATCTCCTCTCCTGTGAGATGCCAAAGGTTTGTTAACCAGCCTTGTTTCCCTCTTCCCCCGGTGCGCCCCTTGTCCTGCAGAAATATGACTATGACAGCAGCACCGTGCGCAAGAAGTTCTTCAGGGAAGCCCTGCTCCAGATCACCATCCCCTTCCTGCTGAAAAAGCTGGCACCAACCTGCAAGGGGGTAAGAGGCCAAGCAGCCCCGTGGGCATGGGTTGGTGGCACGTTTCAAAAACCCTGCTGAGTCATCAAACTCTGTATATGTTGCCATGAACAAGACAGTCCCCCCCCCAGCTGCTTGCCCACAACTGTAGAATATTGGTCCGATTCTCATTTACACCAAGGCCCCTTTACACCACCCTGGAAGTGTTAGGGAGCCAACTCAATATATGTTGCTTGACATTGCCAGTGGTGTAAAAAGGCCTCTGTGCATATAAAAAATTGGGCCCAGTGCATGTACAAAGACATAATCTCTCTTTGTAACATCCTGATCTTGAAATTCCTCACCCCTTTGGGTCTATGTTTAATCTCAACTTGGTCTTTAACTCCTATGGCTAGATGGCCCATAACTGGTGGCATCCCTGGGTCAACAGTGGTGCCCATGGTTTTGTGGGAAGGGTAGCTCTGCCTCTCAAAGGCACATCGTCTTTGGAAAGCCACAGGGCAGCTAGGTGGTCTTGGGTTATCTCTGCCAGCGAGGTGAAATCTGCCTTCTCCTTTGGGCAGGAGTTACCAAAGTTCCAGGAACTGATCTTCGAGGACTTCGACAACTTCATCCTGGTGGAGAACACGTACGAGGAGGTCGTGCTGCAGTCGGTCATGAAGGACATCATGCAGGGTGAGAGGGCTGCCCGCGTTTGGGTGGGAGGGCAGGATGCAGGCTCAGTCCTTCACTATGCTGGGAAGGGGCCTATGCAAGCCTGGCTAACCCCCCCAGTTAGCCAGCTTGGAAAATCCTAAGGGCTGCAGTGTCTCGGCTGCAGCAACGGGCAGTAGACACTGAGTGAATCCTGCTACTCCCCTTCTGCTCACTGAGGGACACTGTTGCTAACGGGGCTAGCTGGCAAGGACTGGACACGCATGCCCATCCACTTACCATGGGGAGGCTCTGGGCATTACAGCAATGGGAGCCATCTCAAGCCAACCCCTGGAGCATCTCCTCCTACAGCACTTTGCCACTCTGCTCCGGATCCAGAGTCTAGGTGACGGTGGAGAGGGTGTATGTGTACTCGGCACTGTCACCGAAACGCTTTCCTCCATGTCTCAGTTCCGTAGCGCAGCGGCCCCCTTTGATTCTGCCCGCTTGTACCACCCGTCTAAGCTGGGTCCAAATCTCACCGCTTCTTCCTTCGTAACTTCTCTAGGATCCGTCCTTTTCCCCTCTATCCAGACAGCCCAGCCTCTCACACCCCCCGCATCATCTGCTGTCTTGATTACCGTAAACGCCTGCTCCCGAGCGTCCCCAACACTCACCTCACAGCCCTTCCCGTCCAGGCGAAAAGCATTGACTAAGATCATCTTCCGCTCCTATCGCTCTGCCTGCGTCACCTCCTCTTGGATTCCCTCCACCTGCCCCCGCTTCTCCACCGCATCAAATTCAGGCTTCCTGTCCTCCCCACCCAGGCCCTTCGCGATTCTGCCCTCCCCTGTTATCCTCGTACTGCATCGCGCTCCGCTCCATCCGCTGAGCCAGCTTGGTCCATCCATCAGCTTCAAACCCTGCCCTGAACCCTTCCACGCTGTCCCTTCGGTATGGAGTCCCCCCCACCCCCGTCTGCCATTCCCACCTTCGCCAAATTCCTTCTCCAGGACCCTCCCGCCAGGGCAGAAGTAGGAATTTAGCTGATCAAGGAGGGCCTGGCTGAGGCGTGGATGGTGACTATGTGGGCATGAGAATTGTACCAGGGTATAGATTGGACTGCAAGGTTCTCTCCCTACTGGCTCGTTGCATGTGCTTTGCTCTGAATCCTAGGAAGGCTAACGGGGACCAGGTCTTGCTATACGTGTGTACAACACAGAGCATGGTGGGGCCTCAATCTCGAATGAGGCCTGTGCTTGCTACTGACACGTAAACAGACCCCTGCCCTGCCCTGACCTCCCGGTCTTTGCCTTTTCAGCTGTGAAGGAGGCAGCGGTGCAGAGGAAACACAACCTGTACCGGGACAGCATGGTCATGCACAACAGCGACCCCAACCTGCACCTGCTGGGCGAGGGCATGCCCATCGACTGGGGAGAGGAGTTCGGCAGCCAGCCGGACTCGGACCCATCCGCCGAGAAGCGCCACAGAGCCAGGCAGGTGGTGTCGGTCATCCACGACGACGAGGGAGCCCTGTCCTATGAGGCCGGTGCGGAGGTGCTGATGCACCAGGTCTCCCAGGAAGAGCTCGGGTCGGAGGAGCTGGAGGCCTGCCCTGCCCTTGCTGCACCGGGTTCTCCTGATAGCATGCAGGGGATACGGGGGATGCTGGTGAAGGAGTTCTGTGTGGAGACCCCAGTCCCGGCAAGAGAGGAGGCAAAGGAACCACTGACGAATGGTACAATAGTCCAGCAGAGCGGCGGCTCTGAGGAGCGCGGGGTGGAGCGAGCTGCCCAGAAGGCCGAGGAAGGCCCTGGTTCCTTGGAACACTCTGCCCCGCATGATGCTGGCTCCCCGTGCCCAGTGAACCCGGGGGTGGAGGAGCAGGAAGCCAAGCCAGCCGTGCCCACCTCTCCAGCCAAGCCGCCTGCCCTGACAGCTGCCTCGTTGCTTGCTGAGGGGGGAGTTGAAGTGAACCGCCACGAACCCAGCGACAAGGAGACAGGGGAAGAGGTGTCCACCCAGGCCCATGTGGAGAAGGTGGAATCTGCCCAGCCGGCCACAGAGAACAGCGCGGAGGTGCAGACTCAGTTCTAGGTCACCCCCCCCTCCCCCCGGTCGAGATCCATGCTGGCCATGTACACTGTGTGCCGAAGGTGGACTGGAGTCAGTGACACCAGGAGGGTGGGGGGGCTCGTAGGCTGGGCCAGTCGCTGGCATTGGTAGCTGTTACATTCCCAGTTTCTGAAGCAGGCTCGGCTTCGGACACCAGCTTCCCAGGGAAAGGGGTGGGGGGAGCCACCGAGATGGAAGATCTCCTAAACTGCACACCCACTTAGAGGAGAGCTGTGTGCTGGCCAGAACCAAGCCGCCACGCTGGGCCAAGCCATTGCCCCTCCTCCCAGGACTCTAGCTCAGCATAGGATACCCACCCCTTCCACACATGCACACTTTGCTCCATCTTATTTTGTTGTTTTTCCTTTACTGAAGAAACACTTTATTGCATTACTCAACTAACAAGACTGTGGGAATGCCTGGGGTTTTCCCCTAGGCAGGAGCTCCCGAGGACATCTGCACAGCATATGCCAGTGGGCACCCAATGCCCCAGGGGGTGGGTTTTGTAGGGATTCCCGTTCCCCTTCCAACAATCCAGCCCTTCCCTTCGTCTGATACTTCAGTCCAACCAAAGAGGTCAATGCTGCATGCCACACTTCTTTGTCAAGCACGGCGGCTGCAGTCAGAGGCCGCCTACCGGTATTGATCATTTCTCCTCCTAACGAGCCTGCATCCAGGATCCTGGCTGAGATAGAATGTGCACTCCCCACCCTCTGCCCTTGCGAATGCTGAACGCTGCTCCCCCGGGCAAGACGCACCTCTTCCCCGAGCCAAAGGGCCAATGGGGGTGCCCCTTGTTTGCCACGAAGCACCGTTCAAGCCAGCGCCATGATTTTAACGTGTCTTGCTGCACGCTCTGGCAGAGGGAGGGTTAAATGAGTCACAAACAAACTGGAATCCATCTTTTCTCATTGGCCCCTAAAGAAGGAGAGTCAACGGCGGAGGATGGGGCTGTTGCTTGCATAGTTCTGGCCACATTAGTGCCTCGCTGGAGAATAAATAGAACTAGCTGGTGTGGGTAATACAGGGGAGTACCTGGGAGTACCTGGCCTTCCTTGCACGCGCTGGTCTGACTGTGGGTTCTGCCAATCGCTCCAAAGACTGTCCACTTGTAGGGATGGAAGGAGCCACAAATACCTCTCAACTATCACCCATCTCCTCCACATCCCTCCTCCCCTGTTATACACAAAGGTTAGGACTGTGACGTAAACTTGAGGGTTCACCCCTGGGCTTGCGGGAGAGAACTGGTGTCCATGGAAAGAGACGACGACGATGATTGGTCGTGCGTAGATTGAGGTGTAAGTGACTGCCACTGTCCACTGGGAGCCTTTAGTGGATGCTTGATTCCCTTGTTCAGTTAAAAACGAGAACTGAGATACAGCTCTGAAGTTTTAGAACCAGCCACTTATTTTTCTTCCCTCCCCTCGCTTCTGGTCTGTGGTTTCTCCAAAGCCCAATTGAGTGGTGGCCCCACCATTCATCCCTTTCCTTGCAAGCCCCCTGCAGCCTTGAACCTACCAAAGATGGTGCCCAACAAACTTAGCTGGTTTGTTTACAAATGCTTTTAATGGCCACATGAATGTTGTTGATAGACTGTCTCCTTCTCTTTCCTTAAAATGTGGAGGGGGTAAGGGGAGAGAGCGGAAACCTCCTTGGAAGCCCAGGGTAGGTGAAAGAGTGTGTTCGGAAGCTTTTCAGGTGGGAATGGAGAGGAAGTTGGCTTTGGAGGGAGAGAATTAAAGGTCTTGGAGAAGGCCAGAAATCTAGGTGCGTGGTTCAGAGGGAGAGATGAGTAAGGGCAAGTCTTGACATAACTGCACAATGGAAGCTCCCATTGCACCAGAGGGGCTGGCAGGAAGGAGGCTTAAGCGTCTGAAGTTGTAGGACTCTGGCTGGTTGCTAATCGGCGTTTCCCTCCTGCATGTGATGGTGTGTTTAGGGCTCTTATTTTCATTGGGCTTGCTTTTGGGGAGTGCTGGGTAGCTCCTGGGTAGGAGGTGGCTTGGGGTGAGCTGGGCTATTTCTTGTTGTTGTTGAGAATCTCCTAACAGTAGTGAGAGAAACAAGTGCCTTAGTGGGGAAAGGGGTCTTGATACAACCATGCCCAGCTCTTGGCAATCATCAACCCAATGGTGAATTTCATTGCACTGAGGGTGGACTGGCTTAAGATACTTTTCCTGTCCCAGGAGAGTGGAGGTATGGCTTAGGGAGCAGAGAGAGAGCTACTCCTGCAGAGGGAATGGATGCATCTTGTCTGCATGCCTTTTTTCTCCCCAGCCAGTCAGGAAAACTTCTAAATATGGGGGAGCGTGGGGGGTCTCGCTTTCATTTTCCCACTGGGTCCCTAGTTATGTCTCTTCTCTCCCTCCGCCCCCTACCCCCCCAATCCAACTCTTCTGGAAAAGCTCTCCTGAGATTACTTGCTCTTCCCAGCATGATCTGTGTGCTGGGAATAAATCTCCCCGTTCCTTTATGAGACTGTGCTACCCCAGCATGCCAACTAAGTCCACCCTGGCCCCCTGGGGGTATTTGACTTTGCTATGGTAACTAAGACTTCACGTGACAACGGGGTCTCTTAGTGGTGCCCAGTGTGAAGCCAATGCCTCGTGGGCTTAGCTTGTGTTGCATTGCAAGGGTTAAGTTCTCCTGGAAACTCCTGTCATGGTGGGGGGAGAGGAGAGAGAGAGGAGGTTCACTGGCTCTGTCTGCTCCCACTGGGCTTTGGGGCTGGTGCAAACAAGTTAAACTTCTGGAATTAAGTAACCTTAAAGCAAAAGCTTAGATGTGGAATGCCACCCCCTCAGACTGTTACATGGATCCTATTGTCCTTGCACCGAGAGCGAAGGAGAGGGGAGCCCTGTAGTTTTTCTGTCAAAGGCAAGACCGGTGGAAGTGTGCACAGGAATCCAGCTCCAGCCCTGCTCTGGCCAAGCTCCGAAAAAGGCGCTAAGTTAGCTCCGACGGAGTTAGCCAGCGTCTTTCAGCGGAGACGGTCAAATGACTCCTCGGTGTGGGCACAACCCAACTCGCCAGACTTCTGCTCTTCGTGGTGCCCTTTTCAGGAGCTTGGGGTGTGGGGAGAGCAGAAATGTTCCCTGGCCAAACGCAGGGGATGGCAGATGCTGCTGAAGTGGGTTTCTCCAGATCTCTCTCAGGCATCTCTGTACAAGTGCATTGAGTCGGACCCCCAGCCAGGAGCTCAGCTGAACACTAGGGGTGGTATATAACCCGATACGCACTGGGACAACCATGCCTCTCGTGGGTGACCTGTGTCTCAGACTTCCATTAACGCTAAGGGGAACTGGGGACCTGTAACTAGCTGGGGAATGGACTCGGCAGACACACAAGCTGCATGCAGGTAATGTGATGTTTAAAACGTGAGATACGGTTGAAACACCTGGTGTAAAGTCTCCTGAATGAGCTGCTTAGATTTTCAATGCAGAACATGGAGCAGGAGCCCAGCCTTCCAATCCTGCCCTCTGCTACAGATACATTCCAACCTCCATGTGTATTTTAGATGCCATTGTTTTCTATTTTTAAATGGGTGGTGCCCAGTCTAAACCACTTGGGACCTCCCAAAGTGCCTTGCCTTGGGATCAAAACCCATCTCTTCCCAGATATTTTATTGAAAATGTTATACAAATGTTTAAAATATGCTTCTAAGAATAAATAAAACCCAGCTTTATTTAAAGCTAGCGACACGGTCTCATTCCTGACTGAGCGGTGACATCACTCCAGACATACCAATGAACGGGAGACGTTCCACATGGCGTGTTGGGGGTGGGGTGGGCGGAGCTAGAATGTTTGGGGGCGGGGTGGGGCGGAGTTCCTCTCCAGTTCAGAAGGAGGGCTTGGATTTGATGTCCAGTCTGGGGCCCGCCAGGCAGTTGGTAAGTGTGTGTACATGGGCGCACTCAAAAGTAGACTGGGGCTAGGCTAGGTGGTGCTGCACGGCAGAAATCATCATGGCCCCAGAGAACTTGGGCTCTGGGGTCCTGCGTTAGGGCCTAGCTCTAAGTGGATGTGTAGTCCAATTGCAGTTTCGAGCTCTGCTGTGCAAGGCGCTGTACACACACACCCAGTAGGACAGTCCCCGCCCCAAAGTGCATACAATGTAAATGTATAAGACAAAGGGCAGGAGATAGGAGGTGGCACTGGACCCACTTTACAGATAGGGAAGTGAGGCACAGAAAGACCAGGGGTATACAAAAAAACAGTGGCGGAACCAGGAACTGAAGCCACATCTCCTGAGTTCCCATCCCGTGGCTTAACTAACCTTCGCTGTGAGTGAAAATGGTGAGCTGTGGGACATTCCACGTGATGGTGAGAGTCTAGGACTTGATTGTAATGAGGGTCACTGGCCAGGGTGACCTCACTGGCAGTGCTACGTGGCTGACTAAGGTCAGTGAATGGCTTCTTAACATGGTGTGTGTTCAGCTGGGGTATCACTTAGTGCACTACACTGGGAATCAAGAGACTTGGGTTCTAGTCCTGACTCAGTTACCAGCCTACTGGTCGACTGTCCCTGCGCTGTGCCTCAGTTTCTCTATTTGTAGAATGGGCACAGTGATACTGACCACCTTGGTACAGCACTTTAAGATTGGTTGAGAAAAAGTGCTATATAAGGGCTACATGGTCCAGTATTGTTTTCTTGTTCATAATGTCTCCTCATCTGCATGTAGTCCCCGCATTGGAAGGACAAGGCTGGTGAATTAAGGACTCAAGTTTCTAACTCCTAAACCTTCAATAGAATAATTTATATTTTGTGCATGTACAACTCTGGGATGTGCTTGATGTGCAGAGAGCTGAGGAGTTGTCAAAAACTCCCTTTGAACATTTTCAAAATGAATGACTGTTCTTTTAGAAATGTGAGCTAATTTATACTAAATATGTTGAAATCAAAACAGATCATTTCTATCGATTTGACCCAATCGGAGGGTTTGGGGGTTTTTACACCCACCCACTCTCACACTCACCCTCCCACAGACTGGGAAAATGTTTCCCAGCTATCTCTAACAAGTTGATACTTTGCACTCAGCATCTTCCAGTTGGGGATCTCCGAGCACCTTCCAAAGCAGGGTAGTAGCCCCATTTATTACAGCTCAGCACAAAACAGTTAACGGATTTGTCCAAGTCCATGCAGCTAGCCCGTAGCAGAGCTGGAAATAAGCCCCAGTACAAGTCCTGGTCTTTTAGCTCGAGCCAGGGACCATCTTTTTGTTCTGTGTTTGTACAGCCCCTAGCACAATGAGTTGCTGGTCTAGGAATGCGGCTCCTACGTGCTACAGTTGTCGCAGCTGAATCAGATCTAAAGCATTATTGGTAACAGGTAAGCAATTGCTTTAACTGAGTTTGCTCTTGACTGCATTCCTTGCAGCTTTCTGAGCAGTCCCTTGCCATTGGGGAATGGCTGGCCGTTGGGGAGCCTAATTTTTGATCAGTGCCATCTATTTCCACATTATCTTTCAGCCTTATGAAAGAGGCCAGCCGCTTCTCCCAGCCTCAGTACCACGATCAGGTGCGCACACACAAGTAGCCAAGCAATTAGGATAGCTTTATTAAAACTTGCCCTTCTCTTGGCATGAAATACAGCAGGATCCTGCGAGGCCCACCAGCCCCTGGGGCATCCTGGCTTCCAAAGCAACCGAGCCACTGCACACGCAAGACTGTTAAACCAACCAATTTACTCCCTTATGCTCAAGCAGCAGGAGGGTGGGGGGTCATCAAGCTGTGCTCACCCCCTGCACTATCCAGAGGGTGCTGAGACGGGGAGCTGACGTACAGCTTTGTTCTGTTGGGAACACAGAAGGCACAGTGTGAGGGGAGCGTCCCCTTGGGGTCAGAGACCAGCATGAGCCCATTGAGGGTTATTTTCCTCCTGCCCACAAGCAACAGGGAGCGGTGAACAGAGCCGTCACGGAGCCAGCCAGGAACATGAACAATCTGGGAGGGAGGGTAAAATAAACCCCAATCCATCCCCCGGCATTCTCATCCCTGCAGCATCCGCTGATGGACATAGCCTGTAACATGTCCGCCTGCTCTGTCCGTCCCCGGGCGAGGGTGTCAGTGCCCAAGTCCTCTTGCTCCTCCAGTCAGCAGGGAAAGGCTCCTGGGATTCCTGAGTGAGAACTGAGGGTGGGCTCAAAGTCATTGGAGACGGCAGCTGTACGGCTGAGCTGCTTGTCTGCTGTCAAGGTTCCTTCCCCACTGAACTCTAGGGTACAGATGGGGGGACCTGCATGAAAGACCCCTTAAGCTTATTCTTACCAGCTTAGGTTAAAAACTTCCCCAAGGTACAAACTTTGCCTTGTCCTTGAACCCTATGCTGCCACCACCAAGCATGTTTAAACAAAGAAGAGGGAAAGAGCCCACTTGAAGACGTCTTCCCCCAAAATATCCCCCCAAGCCCTACACCCCCTTTCCTGGGGAAGGCTTGATAAAAATCCTCACCAATTTGTACAGGTGAACACAGACCCAAACCCTTGGATCTTAAGAACAATGAAAAATCAATCAGGTTCTTAAAAGAAGAACGTTAATTAAAGAAAAGGTAAAAGAATCCCCTCTGTAAAATCAGGATGGTAAATACCTTACAGGGTAATCAGATTCAAAACATAGAGAATCCCTCTAGGCAAAACCTTAAGTTACAAAAAGACACAAAAACAGGAATATACATTCCCTCCAGCACAGCTTATTTTACCAGCCATTAAACAAAAGGAAATCCAACGCATGTTCTAGCTAGACTACTTACTAACTTAACAGGAGTTGTAAGGCTGCATTCCTGATCTGTTCCCGGCAAAAGCATCGCACAGACAGACAGAACCCTTTGTTCCCCCGCTCCAGATTTGAAAGTATCTTGTCCCTTCATTGGTCATTTGGGTCAGGTGCCAGGGAGGTTCTTAGCTTCTTAACCCTTTACAGGTGAAAGAGTTTTGCCTCTGGCCAGGAGGGATTTTATAGCACTGTAAACCAGAAACCAGAAAGCTGGTTACCCTTCCCTTTATATTTATGACATCCGCCCAGCCCGGTTCGCAGCCAGCATGTGGCCCAGTTTAGCTCTTCGTGGGGCTGTGCCCTGCTTGGCCAGGGCGATGAGGGCCTGCCCGGCAGAAAGGGTCCAAAAGTGATCTTAAAAATGGGTAATTGTATAGAAGTGGAGACCACCGCTAGGATTAAAAGGAAGAAACTCAATCCCCCGAGGTGGGGGAATGGGGGGAGTCCCCCATTGTGTGGAGATTCATCTCCCACCAGCTACAGGCCAAGCTTTGCACAAGCATTTTCTCTAGTGGAGCCTCTTTAGTCCTTCCCCCACTGCAGAGGTTGCCGTCTTCTGCTTTGCAGTGCCCTGGAGTGCAGCAGGCCACCGCTATCTCACGGTGAACACTGGGTAAGCCACGTAGTAACCCAGGGCGGAACCCACGATCACCCCCAGGAAGATCCAAGTGTTGTAGGACATCACCACCAGCATCACCAGGTAACCGATCACCACCTGGACCACGTGGAGCAGGCTCTGGCTGATGTGGTAAAGAAACCACCTTTCCAGAAAAGAAAGGAAGAAAAAAAAAAAGCAGAGTTAACTATGGCGCGAACAAGCCTTGCGAGTTAGCAACATCCCCCCAGATGTCTAAGTGTGTCCTGCATGCTCCAGGAGGGTGGCACCAGCCAAAGGCTGAGGGCCAAAGAGGTATGAGAGCTTATGGCCAGGAGCCCTGGTCGTGCATAGTGGGTATAACATTAAGTGGGGTTAATTTGTTTTCAGAGAGCACTGTGCTGCCTAAGGGCCTGTCCGGGCTGACTGCAGTTCGTGTCGTGCTACCTGAGCAAGCTGTAATCTGCCAGCACCCAAGCTACCCAGCTAGTGCAGCAGCATGAACCAGCCCCGGCGTGATTATGCAGGGTTCCAAGCAGGCCTGGACGCGCCACACTGACATGCCTGCTGCTGCAGCAGCACTGCTCCCACCCGGGCCGGAGCTGGCATGATTCACGCTGGCTCAGGTATGTCTGTCGTCGCTGTGCTGCGCTGTGGAGGAGTTCTGTCTATTAATGAGCTGCAGCGTGGTAGCTCCTAGGGGAGCCCCACTCCCGGATCAGGACCCCATTGTGCTAGGCGCTGTACAAACACAGAACAAAAGGATGGTCCCTGACACAAACAGCTTACATGTAAGACAAGAGATGACAGGTGGACACAGACAGATGGGGAAGCACAAGGAAACAATGGGACAATCTTCAGCAGTGTGATAGGCAGTGATCTCAGCACGCTGCCGAAGCTGTGCGGGCTACAATACCAAAATGACACCGCTCTGCAGCCCCTCCCTGCCCCCATGATCTACTCTAGCTTGCTTCCTCCTCTCCTACTGATTTGTGTATGAAACTATGCGCCACATGGAACAGGAAACGCAAGGCAGGGCAGCATCCTCTTCAAATCACGCGAGTTCCCCTTGCATTGTTTGTTACCCGCATTTCGTGTCTGGTTGGCTTTCTGTTCCTTTGGAAATCATGGGGTGGCGTTACGCTCTGAACTAAGCCTCTTCTGCATTTTGGTTTCTGCACATATGGGCTAAAACTTGCCTTTGATTTCTTAACCCTTCCCATGCATGGATTACTTAGGCACACTGAGCTTTTAGCCCACATGGGGTTCTAACTTGGTGGAATTCTCAACCTTGTCACCTGCTATGGTTACTGCCTCATCCCAGTGTGAGCCAAAGATGTTCTTTTTATATAGTTGCACATCATGTTTTAGGTACAGTGCTCCAGGGTCCGTGAAAAGCTCGTTCCAGCTGCAGGAAAACAGTGAAACCAGCCTTAACTGAGAATAGAAATTGGGTGCTTAATGGACATGGCCTTCTAATGAAGGAGGGTCAGAACAGCAGTCAGTACGTGTATTTTTGGGGTGATCTCTTAACCCTTTGTAGGCAACCTCCCATCTTCTTTCTTGAATGGGTTTTGTGTGTCAAAGGCCCACGTTCCACTATCCCACCCCTGCCAAAGCAGAAAGTGATCACGTGGGATAGGCCTGTGTGGCCATAACAGATCCTCATTCCCCGCTGCAACACTGAGGGGGGAAAGCCCTGAGCATTCCCATTATGTCCAGTGATTCGTTCCCGGCCTCAGTGGAGTCAATCCTGCACCTGTGAACAAGACTCCCTCTGAGATTAGGCCTCTCATGCTAGTTACCCCCGATCACACGGGAACTGCAGACGAGGGCTCTTGAAAAGACAGGGCGGGCAGCCGTACAGCGTATTTCCTCAGGCTGTTTGCCAAAGGAACCCCGCTAGAGAAATGCGGTTGGTCAGAAAACAACAGCGTAACTGGGATGGCTTAGCTCACGATACAGGTAGTGCCTGAGGGAAGACGCGATCAAGGGGGATTAATTGGTTACGTTTTGACGGCGATAGTTGTGATGCTTTACAGGGTACAGAAAGCCTGCGAAACCTCAGACCTGCCACCATTTGAACCCAGAAAAACTAGTAAGGTCCATTTAACAAATGTGCAAACAACTTGTATAAAAATCAGAGCTGGTCAGAACTCAGAATTCCTGGTCCATGGCAAATTCCAAACGTTTAGGGGGGAAATTGTTCTGAACTGGAACAAAATTTCAAAATTTCCCCCGGCCTGGGAATTCCAAAACTTCATTTAGGAAAAATCAAAATGACCGTTTGGCCTCACTCCATCAGCTTGACGTGTTTGTATTCCAGTTTTATAATTTAAACATACCAATGCAACTAAGATGAAAAGAAACGAGTGGATAATTTTCCATTGAATCAGCATTTTCCAGTGGAAATCTCTTCCTCTGGAACAATTCCAAACAGCGCTAATCCGTATACAGCCTGAACTCCTCCGGCTGCAGCCCTGCTGGCTGGGGCCGTGCTAGCTCCCTGGGTCGTCTGCGGGTGATCAGCAGTTTCCCTGTCACACGTGTCACTGCCCCGCAACCCCGACACTCCCAGTGGGACTGGGGGCAGTGACCCCCTCTTGACTTTGAAGATGAGGGAGCAGCTGGGCCCCCCTTGAAGCCAATGGGCAGAGCAAGAAAACACCAGTGGTACGGGGGGGAGCTGAGACCTGAGTTAGGTGTAGGAGGAAGGGGGCAGCGGCCCACAGGGGTGAGGGAGAAGGAGCTGAGGCAGGACGGGGCGGGCAGGAGCACTTAGTGGAGGAGAGAGGTTGGGCAGTAGCCACCTACTGAGAGGGGTTTGGGGGATACTGGGATCTTCATCTCCCTGGGTCTAGTGTGGTAATTCCAATGGGCAAGGGTTGCCAATTTTGGTTGGCTGTGTTCCTGGAGGTTTCCTCACATGACATACACTTTAACTAAAGAGTAATCTTGAATTCCTGGAGACTCCAGGACAATCTTGGAGGGTTGGCAACACTCTGATGGGCCCACACGGCAAATGGTGCCTAAAGCCCTTTGCTAGTGTCCCTTGGGCCTCCTTTGTGCAGCAGACAACAGCGAAAACCCAGTCCCAGTTTGAGGCTACCTTTTTGAGGTGGTGTTTTGCTGACCCAGGTTTGAGTTGACGGCCCCCGGCTCCGGCTCCCTGAGTGACTCCTGACTGAGGGTGGTGGGGATGGCCAGTATCATCCGGCGAAGGAGTTTGGTTTTGCTGATCTTGATGGCTTCGTACAACGCCGCTAGCAGCAGAACCACCAGCACCGAGAGCACCATCCCTGCAAGGCAAGCGCCGTTCGGATTGGCCTGGAACCAGCAGGAGCACCAGGGCCATCCCCACAACGGAAGCGCCATTGAACTTTCCACGAAGCAGCAAGCATTCCATGGGACTCTGAACCGTAAGTTTTAGAGGGAGGAGCTGGACGTGCCTCATTCTAAGGAAGTTTACTGATCAAATATAGTAGCTGATCCTTGGCACCTGCCCTTCCCCTGCCCTTATTCCACTCTTCATTCCCACCCCATCAGGCTGCAAAGCGCCGATCCAGTAGGAAAGGGGTGCAGTGGGGCTTCTAGTGACATCTGCCTCTACCCACCCCAGCGGGTCTCCCCCATCTCTTCTGCTCTGCTCATCCCAGATGGGGCCAGAACCTCTTCCAAGTGAAGGACACGAGGTACAAAGTTCTTCTTGAGCCCTCTGGCAGAACGGCCCACTTTCCATTTTATAATGGCACCCCCGCCCCGCACCTTAGCATGGCTGGAGTGGCAGCAGGCCGGTGTGTGATTCACTGATCAGTCCTCATGAGACTGTGCAAATTGCTGTATCTTCTCTGGGCATCTTCTCCCAAATCCCACCCCAATCTGCGACCAAACCAATACTCTTCCTGTGCTATGGGAGACTTAAAGGCTGAGTTTAAACATCTCTTAGTCTTCTGCTAGGCCTTTTCACCGCTTTTATTGGCATTGTTTTATGCATAAATGTCATGCTTGTGTACATAGTATAATGGATAAGGCAGGCATGTGATAAATAACTGCTCTACATCCTCAGTTGTCTCCTCCCTCTCTGTCCCAGTTGTGGCCCGCTCTGGAGCAGAGATGGCCAGCTGTTGTAATTGTGTGCCGTGCCGTCAATCCCTACTGAGCAATAGCGTGGATATGATCTTTCAGTGGCTTGTGATGTAGTTGTGATAGTTTGGGGTATTCGGTGAATTCCACATGGAGAGAGCGGGGCTATAACAGGGGACCTCCAGAGATCAGGAGTGGGGCTGGGGGCAGGCAGTGGGTTTGTACAGAACACTGGAGAACACATTCGCTGTTGGAATTTGTCTGTGTGTGCAAGTTTCTGTTCTCCCAGCCCTTGACTTGGTGTCTGTCTGTCGCTACAGCAAAAACAGTGAGTAAACCCTTATTCCCTCATCTACTTATCACCTACTCAGCCCAGATTATGGCCTCTGCTAGAGTAAATACTATCAAACTATTTAGCTGATAACCACCCATAATCAGCTGCTCTCTGAGGCTATGTCTACAGTACAAATTACTCGGGTCTAATTTATATCGCTCAGGGGTGGGAATAATCCACAGATTCTGTTCTTACCTGCAGGGGTGTGGACATTCCAGAAGTCAAACAAAAGTACCACCTTGTCCGAGAAGTAGAAATACATCTGAAGGAGAAGCAAAGCAAAGGCAAATGTTAAGAGCTGGTTTGGGGTGGAATGTAGAAACAGCAGCCCCATCTCTTACCGGCCGATGCCAGATTTCCAGCTGTAGAGAGAGACCCATGATCAATAATTACAGCATCTCATAGGTGGTGCCCCAGTGCCTTTCATAAATATATTGATAAAAATATTCCTTCAAGTGGGTTCAGTGTCGATCAAAGTTGCCAGGTGGAGAGGCCAGAGAGTCTCTGCGTATCCACAGAATGGGAGGCGCACAGCCAATACACAGAGTGAGTAGAGGTAGACAGACATGGCAAGTTCTGGCAATATTTTGGGAGATCTGACTGAATTAAGTTTAAATAGCTTTGGAGCCCATTGTATTACAAACGCCAAGTGGATGTGTTATTGTAGGATTATGTATAGCTTCTCTAGGAGGCAGATGTGGCCAATGTAAACCCCGCTGGGAACTGTTATGAGCTCCAAAGGACTACTTTCCACCTTGGGCCCAGGCAAGGAGGGACTCTCACGTTGAACAAAGTGGGTTTCCTAGGAAATACCTGGAGGGAGGGGAATGCAGATTCCCAGCTCCAGATCCAAGCTTTTGAACTGCTGTCTGGCGGATTACCTCTTCCTGGTCTCTGCAGATCAAAGATAAAGGAGAAACCCACTGGCTAAGTCTACACTACGAGCTAGGGGTATGATTCCCCTGCTCGCGTACACATGCTCGCGCTCGCTCTCATCAAGCGAGCAGGAGTCTGAATAGCAGTGTAACTGCAATGGGCAGCATGGGTCATGGCACAGCTGAGTCGGGCCGAGTACATACCCACCGGCTTCAGGTGGTGGTCGTGTTCTGAACAAAAGCTGTTACGAATTTGTGACCACAGAACCGCCCCCCCCCCCCCGGTGGAGTCTGAAGGACTGTTCACCTGCCAGAGCCCACGCTGGAGTTGCGGGGAAGGAGGGACAGCTGGTAAGCTTATTAGCAGGCGTGCAAGTTCTTTTATTGTTTTAATGTGTTTTCTCTGTAATGCTTTCACCTGAAGAATAATTGTGCTTGCTTGCAAAGGGCAATGTGGTAACCTATAGCTGTGGGCAAGCACGTTGTTTATAGCCACTGAGGAGAAAGCAAAGCGGGCCTGCTTAGGCAGTCTGACTTGCTGGGGAACTCTCAGCGAACACAGGGAGCTGTGCAGCCTGGTCAGGAGGGAGCGAGACGCAGGTCTCCGACCAAGAGGTGAGGGCTGGGACCTGGAAGCCTAAGAGTGGGTGTCCTTGCTGGACCATGGAGGAGGAACACAGGTGCAGTTTCCCTGGACTATGACAGAAGGGACCACTGTTGAGGCTCTGTCTAGATATCTTAGGTACTTATATGACCCCCATTATCATTGCATCTGAGCGTCTCCTGATCTTTATTCCTGTGAGATGCTGTTATCCCCATTTTATAGATGGGGAACAGAGACTAAGTGACATGACCAAGGTCACACAGGAAGTCTATAGGAGAACAGGGAATGGAGTCCAGGTCTCCCAAGTCCTAACCACTGGGCCATCCTTCCCCTTAAGATAGGAGGTACTGCTTAGCCTCCATAGCCCATCCAGCCCTTGGCCTGGCAGCGGGGATGCCCACAAGTGTGTGGCTTGTGATGCAGATGCCGCCTGTCCCTTTTGAATCGGGCTGAGACCAGCAACTCAAGTCGTAGGCTTCCAACGTGTGTGTTAAAGATTGGGACATGATTTCTTTGAAGGCGTTTCCATCCAGCTCTGTGCATGTTCTCTCTATCGAGGCTAGCTACTCTGTGCTCCTCATGGTAGTAGCTAGGGTCCAGCACAGGTCAGGACCTGCTGCGTTGCATATGTTGCATTTCATCTCTTGGAACGTGCTATCCCTCACAGGCAGGTTGCTTTGGACGATTTTCGCCCAACGGTTAATTGGCTTTCATATCCTCCCCCTTTCCTCCAGTTTCCCAGGGCTGCCTGGGCATGGAGGGGTGTGGAGGGGTACACCCAGCTCCTCCTGCATCACTGCCATTGTGCGTTAGTCTGGAGCCGGCTTAGGCTCCTGCATCAGCCTGAGCCCTAGAGATTGCAAAGGGCTGATATCTAGGAGCCAGGTGTGCTCCTGTGGAAACAGGGAGGAGCAAACTGAATTGCCCCATCCGCTGCTTCACTGGAAGGGAGGAACTCCCCGCTGCAGGAGGGCAGGAGCTGTATTCCCTTGCATTCTGCTGAAGCTCTATAGATCCTTCCTGAGAGATCTATTGAACGAGCGTGTCTCATTGATGGCCTGGCCCTACCCTCTTCCTGGTGTGTGCTGTTCAGCTCCAGGTCCCCAGCTGGGGGGCTTGTGATTGGTTTCTGCTGCCTTTTATGCCCACTTTCAAGGCAGATTTTCTGCAGCCTGGTGGGGGCTGGTGCAAAAGGTTTGATTTGAAATAAGTAAAATTCTGGGTGGCTGGCCCTGGGGGCTCAAATCTTCCTTGTCTGTACCATAAGCAGTCGGGTACAGGATTCCGCACATGCCAACTGCTGGGCAGCCCAGCCCTGGTCTGGAGAGGCCACTTCTGGAGGTGACGGTGGTTCTCAGCTTCTTTCTGAGACTGCCAACAGAGAAAGTCACAGGTGATGGTGAGTCGTATGAGATGGCTACTTATCTGATCTGTTCCCACCCCTTCCTTCTCCACAAGGCTTCAGCCAGCCAGCAAATGATAATGATTGTTGTTGCTTGGAGCCAAGTCAGTGAATGGCTCTGGATTCCCATTTCCTCACCCCTGAGCCATCCAGTCCCCCTCTCTCCTGCTCCTTCCAGCCCCTCATGCTTCCCTTTCCCCACTTCTTTAACTTAGGGCAAGCCGCTCTGCTTTGGCAAAGTCTCTTCAACGTGATCACACAGCAGAGAGGGTTCCATTAACAACAAAAAGAAACCTCTGAGGATTGAGCCAAGAGTAACTCAAGCGAGCTCGTGCTTTGCCTTCATTTCTCCAAAGCCTCGCTGGGCATAGAAGTGTCAGAGATCACTGATTTACATCTGTAAACCTCTTGGAACTGCATGACCTTGCAAAACGAAACTGAAGGGCTCTTAGCAGAGTTGCCTCTTGGCAGATCCCTTGGGTACTGTACTGGATCTTCACTTCAAAGGGCAAATTCAGTTTGCTTCACTTGTTTGTTTCAGCTCCACCCTCTGAGAGGGGAAGCCACCTTGCACAAAGACCGACCCCAGGCAGAACAGAATCAGGTGGGGGGAAGGGATTGATGGTTTGGGAATGTGGAGCACTCGCCACTCCCACTGATTTCAGTGGATCTCAAACACTTCCAAAAATCAGCCCCAAGTTGCTTGGTATGTTAGAGGTAGTGAGTGTGATGCATGATGTATTCTTGCACTATTGCTGTTTGCAAGCATGAATAAAGCCTCACAGGATCCTTGGGGGGGCAGGTAGGGGGCTGCATTTTATAAGTAAACTGAGGCACAGAGAGGTTAAAGAATCTATGGTTACACAGCAAATCAAGAATAGAACCCAGGAGTCCTGGCTCCTACTTAGTTCTTACAACAGGAGTGGGCAAACTTTTTGGCCCAAGGGGTACATCTGGGAATAGCAATTGTATGGCAGGCCATGAATGCTCACAAAATTGGGGTTGTGGTGCAGAAGAGGGTGAGGGCTCTGGTTGGGGCCAGAAATTAGGAGTTCAGGGTGCAGGAGGGGCCTCTGGGCTGGGGTGGGGGAGTTGGGTGTGAGGGGGAGGTGAGGGCTCCGGCTGGGGGTGCGGGCTCCGGGGTGGAGCTGGGGATGAGGGGTTTGGAGGATGGGAGGGGGATGAGGGCTGGGGCAGGGGGTTGAGCTGTGGGGAGAGGCTCAGGGGTGAGGCTCCGGGCGGTGCTTACCTCAAGCGGCTCCTGGAAGCAGTGGCATGTCCCTTCTCCGGCTCCTACGCAGAGGCATGGCCAGGCAGCTCTGCATGCTGCCCATCCACAGGCACTGCCCCTGCAGTTCCCATTGTCCATGGTTCCCAGCCAATGGGAGCTGCAGGGGCAGCGCTTGGGGCAGGGGTAGTGTGCAGAGCGGAGCCCACTGGCTGCCCCTATGCGTAGGAGCCAGAGCGGGGCCATGCCGCTGCTTCTGGGACCCACGTGGAGTGGGCCCCGACCTTGCTCCCTGGCTGGAGCATAGCAAGCCCCAGACCCTGCTCCCCAGCGGGAGCTCAAGGGCTGGATTAAAACAGTTGGCAGGCCGAACTGGGGAAGATGGGGAAACCGAGGCACTGAGTAGTGACATGACTTGCCCACATGATTTGACTTGTTTCTCTCACTTTTAACACAGCCTTAACCAGCGTGTAGAGCATTATCCTGAACTGAGCCCTTGCTCATGAAGACCGCAGCACAGTCAGCAAGAGGCCCTTGGTTTGGCCAGACAAAAAGGAGCAACCTTGAGTTTTTCCATTGAGAGTCAGCGCTAATAGCAGGCAGTGAGAAGGGTGCCATGTGTCTCCGGCAGCTGGCCAGCTGTAGCTGATTACAGGCAATCAGCGCAGCAACTGAGTCAAGGCAGTTTCACTTCTCATCGGAGCAGAGTGGTTTCAATGTCAGTGTCGTGAACTGCCTTTGTGATTGTGAAGTGCAATCTAAGCTGTGTTTCCCTTTGCACTGGGAGTTCAGGGGACATTCTCCAGTGGGGTGCTTTTCTCTGTGGGAGGACCAATGTGACTTACCAGTAGGGCTAGGGAAAATCCACTAGACTAGGAGATATGCCGGATCCCTCCAAAAGGAGCATTAGGCTGGTAATGCTGCATTCACCATGGGAAGGGAGCAGAGCAGCACCCGGGGTTAGGTACCATTAAGTGTTGGGAAATGGGGGGCTGTTTTTATGTTCATGCATCATTTTGTGAACTTCCTATTACTAAAACAGGGGCTTTCTAAGATTATGCCCTACAGTGTGTGGATTTCAATAGTACCTGTCCCCTCTCTTTCACATGCACATACTAGGCTGAGGCTTAGATTATGAGAAAAAGGTTTTTTC